GCACCCGGGCTCTCCTGTGCCCAAAGCATCTTTCTTAAAGAGAGACCTGAACGTGTCATCAAGTCCACTGTGGCTCCTGGCGCCCCCACATGTGACTGCAGACACCTGCCCCACTGGGTTCCCACATCGGCGCCCACCTTCTTCCAGGGCACCTCTGGGTGGGTTCAAACCACTGACCTTTTGGTTACTAAGCCCAGGGCTTGGCCACTTGTGCTAGCCAAGAGCTCACAAGGGAAAAATTGTGGAAATTCCCTCACAAGGGAAAATTTGTGGGAAAATTCCATTCTGTTTTTCCATGAACTTTTTGATGTCCCCTTATCTAACACAGTCCTTATTACTGTCACTGTCTGAGTCTCGAGGGGCTGCTGTAACACAGTGCCACAAACCTGCCTTAAAAACCACAGAAATTCATTCTCTCACAAAGCCAAGGTGTGGCAGGGCCGCACCCCCTTCCTCCGCAGCCTCGAGGGGAGAGTCTATCCTTATCTCTTCCAGCTCTGGTGACCCTGGTCGCTCCTGAGCTGGTGGCTGCCTTGGTCCTCACAGGACTGTCTCCTCCTTTGTGTTTCCCATCGGCATCATTGCTGTTGCGATGAGGACATTGTCGTAGGGCCTCCTACATAATCTGGGATGATCCCTTATTCTCAGGCTCTCTAACTAAATGACAGCAGCAAAGACCCTTCTTCCAAATAGGGTCACCAATCACTCGGCATTGCAGCACCCACTTTCACACCTAGCAGGAAAGGCCCCGGAATGCGACATGGGGGACGCTGCTCAGCCTGTCCCTCATCTGCATCTTCTGCCCTCAGACTGGTGAGGTACATCTCTGAGAAACTGGTACCAGCCCCTGGTTGTCAGCACTGAAGCTCTTTGTGTAAATATTTGGATTGAGAGTTAAGATTCATTCATTTATCCTGTCATTCCGCGCATTAATGAAGGTCCTGTTACTGGGCCGAGAATGGAGACCCTCAAGATGAACGGGATGCAGACTCTGAGGGACCCCGTGTGACGGAGGAGAGCTGCCCCTACAGGGCTCCCTAGACTGTCATCTTTACGGGAAGTGCCCTGTGGGTGCAGCGGTGAAAAGTCACAGCAGCTCCTGGGAAAGGAGGAGCCTGGTGTGTGTCAATACGACATTCCTCCTCTGTCACAGAGAGTCGCTATGAGTCAGCCCGACTCCATGGCCATGGAACCAACTACCAGGATTTTCTTTCTGCTGCACAGCTGCTGGCTGGGTTTGACAGGCAGCCTTTAGGTTAGCAGCTGAGTGCTTAACTGGTGAGCCACTAGTGCTCCTCACATGTCTGCACATGTCCTCATATGTCCGGGTTAGTGTGACGGCAGTCTGCGGGGGCTGGAGGGATCGTAGCTCCCACAGAAAAGGCTTCTTTGTAAAGAGCTGTGCTTTCTAGGAAAGCAAACCACGTCATCGGCAGGACCCTCATCCTGGCGTTGAGAAGCAGCTGTTTAGCAGTGCTCTTGCCTCTGGGATGTCCAAACCATCTTTTCTCTTCCCCCATTCTGGTGGGGTTAGGATGGACCGACTTACGGTGACCCTACACACAACAGAACAAACACGGCCCGGTCCTGAGTTATCCCCAGGGTAGGTGGTGGATTGGACCCACCGTTGTGATCCACAGTTTTCAATGGCTGGTTTTTTGGGTTTTTTTTTTTAGTTTTTGTTATGAATTAAGTGATAGTTTACATTGTAGAAAATCGGTTTTACATTCAACCCATTGAATTTTGTTTCATTGCAATGATTACAATCCCCTCCATACACCATTGGTTACCAGTATTCTCTATTCCCTTTTTGTTTTTTGATGTGCGCAAAACCACGCAGGGGTATATACCTGTTTAAACAACCAAAGGGCACATTCTGCAAGCCTGCCTCCTGGCCTCCAGCACACAGCCTTTCTCTTTCCATGAGTCCAGAGTCCTCAGCTGCTTCCTCTCTCCCTGTCCCCATCTCTGCCTCCGTCTCTGGTGTCGCTTCTCTGGATAAGGTCCCACGTTCTGCTTGCCCTCTTCTCCCTTGATGGTCCTAGGGTCCTCTGTTCCTGTACTGTAAGGTTAACTACTCCCCTCTTTATGTTACAAAACTTCTACCTTTACAATTGTGACAGTCACAATTAGTCATGATAACAATTACTCACTATTGAATCGTACGAATCTTATCCCCATCTCTTTTCACCAGACCCATCTAGACAAGATGAAAACTATTCAGTGGGGACTCTTTCTTCCCCCACATACTCATAAACTAAACTCTCTTGAAACCTTGTAAGCCAGTCACTTTGAGCCTTTATCGCCCCCTCATTTTAGGTTTTTGTTGTTGTTATGTACCATGGAGTCGATTCTGACTCATAGTGATCCTGCACAGGGTTTCTGAGGCTGTAAATCTTTACAGGAGCAGAAAGCCTCAGCTTTCTCCTGTGGAACGGCTGGTAGTTTCGAATTGCCAACCTTAAGGTTAGCAGCCCGATTCGTAACCACTACGCTACCAGAGCTCATTTTAGGTAGCCAGTGTCTAAGTTGCCCGTCCCTATTTATCCTGTATACAGAGGGGATAGCATTGATACATGATGTGAAGGCTCCTTCCCTCTCAGTTGATATTTTGAGCTACTACCTCCATGAATATAGGTCAAGTTCATCAAGTTGTAGCAATTTACATTTGTTTCCTGTATCAAAAAAATTTTTTTTTTAATTTTCTCTAGTTGAGTTTTGATTATCAAGCCACCGAGGCTAGGTCAAATGGGTACTATCTACAAGTTTGGGCATTCTCGTGTGTCTCCCCTCACTTCATATCAGCTGGATGCTTCACTCAGCTCTAGCCCTCTGTGGCTATGTCCTTGTCCTTGGGCTCAGGAGTCCCCAGGTTTCACCACACTTTGGACCAACCAGCCCTTCCTCTTCTCTCTCTCATCTCCAGGTCAGCGGGAGTCTATGGAATGTGGTTGAACTTAGCCCATTTCTCCATTGCTGCCTTTCCCCCTCTTCATTCACCAGTAAACCAGTGTGGTCACCAGCAAGCTTACGTGCCTGCTCATGTGTTTCCTTTGAGGTTCAGTCTTAGAAGGGGGTTTGTCCTGAAGAGACTTAATTGCTTGCCTTGATGGCTCCCCGGCGAACAACTTGCTTGTTCTTGTAGTAGCCAGTCAGACTGCCATTTTTGTTTTGGATTTTTCCTGCTGGGTTTTCTTAAGCTTTCACAATAATGGTCTTATGCAACATTTGTCCTTTTGTGAACATCCAAGGAGTCCTGGTGTGGTGCTGTGGGCTAATGAGTCAGACTGCAAAGTCATTGGAACCTCAAGGTCGGTGGGTCAAGCTCACCAGCTGCTCCTTGGAAATCCTATACAGGATCACTATGGGTCGGAATCGACTCCACAGCACTTCACAACAACAAACATCTGAACATTGTTTCCTCTCCTTTTCCCTCGGCCTGTGTCTCGATCCTGGTGTCATGGAGCCTTGTTATTTCCAGGTTGTGCAGACAGCAAGTCCTCCCCTGTTCCCGTTAGCCCTGCAGACCTTCAGAGTGCTCTCTGCCTCCCTGCTCCTCCCCCCTCCTCCCCCTTCTGTGCATTGCCCTCCCTGTCCCCTGACCTGTGACTTACTGCCTGCCTGCCCCGGTAACTCTCAGAGAATTACTCTTTGAATATGGAAATCTTTTCCTAATTTTTTACTATCAGCCCTTTTGTGCCTGACTAGTTTGACTCAGCATTCTGTCCTCAAGGCTCATCCGTGCTCTGTGCTGCTTTGTAGCTTCCTTGTTGTTCTTCGGGGTAGCATAGTATTCCATTGTGTACATGTATCAGAGCTTGTTTATCCATTCTTCCATTGATGGGCACTGGCTGGTTTTTGGACATTGAGTGCCAGGCCTTTCTTCCTCGTCTTAGTCTGGAAGTGCCTCTGAAAGCTAGTCAGCATCACAGTAGGACACAGGCTTCCACTGGCAGACTGGTGGCAGTGCACATGAGGGATGCTGCCTGGGGTTGGAACCCGAGTCTCCTCATGGAAGGTGAGCATTCTCCCGCAGCTCAGTGGGGCTGAGCCGCCCTGCAGCATCAGACCTGGGGACGTCCCAGGTCCGGCATGTGCACAGAGCAAGTGCCCGTCACCTCCGGCATATCGTCACCTCTCCTTTGTTGGTTATTCCAGGTTTCCCAGTGGACTTCCTACCGCCTCTCACCCCCTGCCTTTGGGACATACCCCCAGAGCCCCCACGATGTCCAACCCCTTCCTAAAGCAAGTCTTCAACAAGGACAAGACGTTCCGGCCCAAGCGCAAGTTTGAGCCGGGCACACAGCGCTTTGAGTTGCACAAGCGGGCGCAGGCGTCGCTGAACGCAGGGCTGGACCTGCGGCTGGCCGTGCAGCTGCCCCCGGGGGAGGACCTGCACGACTGGGTGGCCGTGCATGTGGTGGACTTCTTCAACCGTATCAACCTCGTCTACGGCACCGTCAGTGACGGCTGCACCGAGCAGACCTGCCCAGTGATGTCGGGTGGCCCCAAGTACGAGTACCGCTGGCAGGATGAGCGGGAGTTCCGCAAGCCCACTGCGCTGCCCGCCCCCAAGTACATGGACCTGCTGATGGACTGGATCGAGGTACAGATCAACAACGAGGACCTCTTCCCCACCAATGTAGGTGAGTGAGTCGGGGCTGCCCCAGCGGGACAGAGACCCGCGGCCTCCCAGCCGTGTGTGTCCACTTCTTCCTGGTCGGTAGCTGTGGGCATTCTTTGGTTCCTTGGAGCTCTGGGCTAGGCACTCAGCTCCTAATGAAAGGTTGCCAGTTTGAACCTTCCCCGGGTTGCCTTAGAAGGAATGCCTGACATTCTGTGTCTGAAAGGTCAGAGGTTAGAAAGTCCTGTGGAGAAGTCTCACTCCATCATGCATGTGGGGTCACTAGCCAGAAAGACGTGGTGGTCAGCTCCTGTAAGGACGCCAGCCTGGGAAACTGAGGCACTTCTCCTGCCGCATGAGGTCGCTGTGGGTTGGAATCGACTCAGTGGCACCCCACAACTTGGTTCCTGGGTGTGCAGGCATGCTCTCTAACTCAGGATCCACGTGCCTGGGGCTGACCTCTGCTGCTGGACAGATTGCCTTACGTTAGGTAGGCTGCGTTAGGAGAGGGTGCACAGACACCCAGACCAGGTCCGCTTGACCCATTCTGGGGACACTAGTCAGCCCATAAGGCACCCGCGAGTGGGGCTGTCTGTCCCTCTCTGTCCACTGCTGTGCCATCTGAAGGCTCTCCTGATTGAGCCCCTCCATGTGAATGGAATCCATGGTCACAGGCCAGTCCAGGCCCGGGGATACAGGTAGATGCACCCCTTTGTCTCTGGGGTCCAGCAGTAGGCCCAACACCCTCCCTGCCTTGTCACCCAATGCCTCATCCCACTGGACCACGCCCCCTCTCACAGACACTAACACTTCCTCTTGACACTGGGTCTTCCTTCCTTGGAGGTCTCTGCCGCCACACCCGCTCCCCATGATTCACATCCCCCTGCCCTCGACTCAGACACCAGTGTCTTCTCGAGGGGCTTCCCAGACGCTCACGTGGAGGACAGTACTAGCTCCTGGGTAGGCCTTTTTCTTGCCCTGCGAAAGCCCAGAGACTTGGTCTCTGACCTGTCTACTCAGCTCTGGTTTTGCAGTGCAAAAGCAGCTTTAACAACATTTCCACAAATGGGCACAACTATGTGCCAATAAAGTTTTATTAATAAAAGTTTATTAATAAAAGTAAGTTGGGGATAAAACATTAAAAAAAAATAAAAGTAATTGGGGGACCAGGTTTGGCCCCAGACTCCTGTGTGGACACAGAGGCCCTGGGCAGCTCCCTTTCCACAGGCCTCTCAGCAGTCTTGTTCTCCGTCACTCCTCCACAGCCAGGCTCACCGCGGCCACTCTGGGTCCAGAGTCCCTCACTGCTCTCCTGGGAGAAAGAGGGACAGGGTGGTGTTGCCATGAGCCCCCAGCCAGCCCCCTCTGCTGACTGCAGCTCTCCACACCCATACCAGTGTGAGAGGTTCTTCCCACTTGGTGAGCGGTGTGTCACATGCTACATGGCTTTGGAAGGTTTTCAGGGACAATATCAGCCTTCAGATAACCTACAATTTAAGAAATTAGTCCAAGAGCACTTAAGAGAACAGGAATGAGGCCCTGGATCAGGAGGCCAAAAGTCCAGATCTGGGTCTCAGCCGCATAGCTTTCTTCTGGGGTCCTCAGGGGAGTGGCGCTGTGCCTCTCTCCCAGCACCTGGGGGGCTGCAGAGCCTCATACAGTGCCGTCCACAGGTACAGGGCTCCCTGTCTGTCCTTCCCGGTTGCTCTTGTTGTTAAGTGCCATTGGGTCAGTTCTGACCCATAGCGACCCTATCTAGGGCTTCCAAGGAGTGGCTGGTGAATTTGAACTGCTGACCTTGCAATTCAAACCAACTTTGCAGTCCAGCGCATTAACCCACAGCGCCACACCACTACTCCGTCCTTCTCTATTGTTGGCAGTGGTGTGCCGTGGAGTCGGTTCCGACCCACAGTGACCCTGCACAGGGTTTCCGAGGCTTTAAGTCTTTACGGCAGCAGAAGCCTCATCTTTGTCCGGTGGAACAGCTGGTAGTTTCTGATTCCTGCCCCTGAGGTTCGCAGCCTGACTTGGAGCCACTACGCTACCAGAGCTCCTTTCTAAAACATTTCTAGTGATACTTTAGTGTGTTTTAGGTGAACGTTTTCCCCACAGATTAGTTTACCTTTCAATAATTTTAAGGAGTCCTGGTGGCGCTGTGGATTAGGCATTGGGCTGCGAACCACAAGATCGGTGGTTCAAGCCCACCAGCGATTTCAAGGGAGAAGGATGAAGCTGTCTGCCCCCCTAAAGATGTCCCGAAGTCTTGGAAACCCTAAGGAGTTGTTCTCTGGCCTGAAGGGTCCTGAAGAGTCGGGTTGACAGGACGGCAGTGGGTTTGGTTTTGGGGTTTAATCGTTTTCTCTCACTTGTCCCGTTGGTCGCAGCAGCGTGCCCGCCTGCTGTATATCTCCGTTCATGGTCCCCTTTCCCTCCTTGCTCTCCCGCATTTCCTGGTGGGTTGTTGATGGTTTGTCTCGAGTACTTTATTGTGGACGAGGGCATGTTGCTCCCGGGCAGTGGTGGTCACTTTCTAAGCCAGTTGATCATTGAGGAATTCCGCTCTGTGCTCTAAGGCTGTGGGAGTCAGGACGGCTCAGAAGGGAGCTGCAGAGACGCCTTCAGTCCCGCCTCCAAAGCTGGCCTTTGGGTGATAGTCCTGAGGCTTCTTCCGGTCTATACGGGTCCAGTGTGTCCTGCCTTTTTTAGGAATTAGATGTTTGTTCTACATTTTCTCCCATTTGGTCTGAGCCCTTCTTTTGGGTCCCTGGTGTGAATGGGCGCTTGTGCTAGATGGTCAATATCTAGCTCCTGTTTCAGGCCAGAAGAGGCTGTGGTTCGTGGGCATGTTTCTTCTCTGAGCCTGTGGTTTTCTTTACACTCGTTTACCCGAGAAGAGTAGAGACCCAAGGTGTATCTTAGATAGCCACTCACAAGCTGTCCTTCCAAATGGAGAGCCCCATCTGGTCTTGTTGAACTGGTCACAAAAAAGAAAGCGTTTCCAACACACACTGTTCCACTCACGGGTACCCAAGTTAGGGCTTCAGCATCCTTTCTGAAATACGTTGTGGGCTTGGGGGATGATGGTTTGGAGGGAATGTCTCTTGAGAACAGGAACAAAGCAATTGCTTCCACTTTGATCCAACTCCTAGCAACCCCAGGTATGTCAGCGTAGGACCTCGCTCCGTGGGGTTTTCAGTGGCTGGTATCTCAGAAGCAGGTACCCAAGCATTTCTTCTGACACTTCCAGGTAGCTGTATGCCTTCCTGTTGGAAGCACTCATCAGCTTGTAATCCATGCTGCCCCGCACCTGCTGTCCCCACACTTGCTGTCCTACACCTACTGTCCTACACCTGTTGTCCTACACCTACTGTCCCACACCTACTGTCCTATACCTGCTGTCCCCCATCAGCTGTCACCACACCTACTGTCCCCACATCTACTGTCCCCACACCTGCTGTCACCCATCGGCTGTCCCCAGCACCCGCTGTCCCCACACCTACTGTCCCCACACCTACTGTCCCACACCTACTGTCCCCACACCTATTGTCCTACACCTGCTGTCCCAAATCTACTGTCCCCACACCTGCTGTCCCCACACCTACTGTCCCACACCTGCTGTTCCCCATCTGCTGTCCCGAGCCTGCTGTCCCACACCTGCTGCCATGTATCAGCTATCTTCTACCTGCTGTCCTGCACCTGCTCCCCACTAGCTGCCTCCCCCCCCACCTGTTGTCTCCACCTGCTGTCCTACACATGCTGTCTGTCAACTTCACCCCCAGCACCTGCTACCTCACACATGCTCTCCCCCACCTCTCCAGTACCACCTCCACCTTCTCCAATCTGACCAGGAGGAGACTTGAGGAATCCGGGGAGGGCAAGCTCAGCTGTAAACTACCTGAAAAGCGGCCCATTCAGAGGCACCTTGGGAGAAAGGCCAGGTGATGTGCCTACAGTCAGCCTGCAGGCCTGTGGGGCCCAGTGCCGCCAGGAGGCAACGCCCACTAGAGGGCAGTCGGGCCTTGGGCTCAGCCTTCCTTCCGCACTTACAGGGCTTTGCTGGGCCTTCTGAGGGGTCTCCTCACCGCGAGACCAGTTACCAATCAAATTCTCTCTTTTCACCACCTGTGAAATTGATCCTGTTTTACTTAGTTATATTTTTATTTTATTCATTCTAGTTTATTTTTGTTTCATTTGTTATATTTTAAATTATAATTTATTAATGTTCAAGTCTTTGTGTGTGTGTGTGTG